AGAAAGCGTGAAACAAACGAGCCGAATAAAGGCTTAAAAGGAAGTGCGCGATCGTTTACCTCTGACGTTGCATGACATACGATCAATAATGGATATATCGTTCTTCGTCTCGAGTTCCCTCCGGAGGAGGATAAAGATCGATTCGACGAACCGCCGCCGCGTGCATCGAGTAGGAACGGTTCAACGCGCCGAAACGATATCAATGGTCTCTCGCTGGTGTTGGTATCGACGCGACATGTGAAAATCATGTGCGTAGTTGCAACGTTGTCGTTGCGTCGTCCTTCCCCCCTCCCCTCCCCCTTCCTCCCTCGGAGGGGTAAGTCGTCGGGGTATCGGGGTGTAAAAATGGCTCGGCGAGACGAACGGAAGAAAGGAGACGGGAGATAGGAGGGCCAAGTAGTCTGGGCCGAGTGAAAGCGAGAGCGAGAGCGAGAGAAGAAGAAGAAGGAGACAAAACACACACGGAGGAGAGTGGTGCGCGTTGAGTTGATAAAAGAGAGATCGTGCAGCGTGGACCACGCGATCGGCATTCGTGTCTCTGTCGATCGTCACGGCCAGTTCTCTCGGTAAAAGGTCTCTTCGAAACGTCAATAGACAGAGTTATATATCGCGTTCCACGTTTATATTAGTCACTGACCTCGGCGGCCGCTTGGCCAACCTCGTTTTCTCACCACTCTCGCCTCCCTGGAAATCTTCCTCGTCGAGTAGTCTTCTCGCCTCTCCTTTCCTCTCGTCCTCTGCTTTCACACAAAGTTCGAAAAGATTTTCTGTTTCCACGAGAAAAAGAGAAAGAGAGAAAGAAAGAAGTTCAAAGATTCGCGACGATTCGGTAAGAATCTCGAGCTGCGCCGCGTTTGAAAGTCACCGACTTGATTAAAGACCAACTCCATAAATTGAAAAGTGCGGGAAAGCGATCATTAGAGTATAATGGAGCCAGAGACGGGATTTAAGCGAAGGATCTCTTTCTCTCTCTCTCTCTCTCTCTCGCTCCCTCGAGAAACGTTAGTCGACTAGACATTCGTATTCGGCGTATAATTCATTCGGTTACTCGGCTGATTCGCTGAAATTATCGGGAGCTGCCTCTTTGTTGCAGCGGCGATCGTTCTTTTCAATTTATCGGACTTTTTAGCGAATTCTCTTTTTTTTTTCTCTTTGCTCCACTATACAGGGTGTCGCAAACTTAAACTAGGGCTTGATCTATCTCTTGACGTATTTTCTAAAGCAAAAAAAAAAATGTCCTGTTATACAGAAATATAACGAAATGTGAAACATCATTAGATAACATGAAACAAGTTAGCTACGCATTTGATTTTCAATTATGGAGCACACTTTAGAACAAAACGTAATTTTGAGTTGAAATTGTTACTCGCCGATATCGAGCTCCGTGGAATTAAATATTCTTTCTCATGTCACAGTATTGTTATAATTAACGATACGAAATTGTAAAGTACACGAAAAAGAGACATGTGTACTTAACGACACCGTCTGTATATTGTAACGAAAAAATACGAAAAAATGCTACTTACACTCTCTGCAACAGAGTGTTTCTCGTCGAATTTCATATGACGTTCGTCCTTCGTTTTGTGTTTCGCTTACGTGTAAGTTCGGGACACGAGTTATATTTTTATGTAGAAATCGGCATGTATGTACGATCGGATAATGGATATGTACAATAAGTGAAAAAAGGGTGAACGTCTGTATTGAGTTTGACGGGAAGATTAAGGGAATTAATTTAATCAATAGGTTTCGAATTCGTCAGACAGACAAACGAGTAACTATGCACGTGACGTGAATATTGGAAGAGATTCGCTGTTTTTGCCAGCTGTTTGCGAGTTCGTTAAACCAATTTAGATTCAGCGTGCAACAAAATACGAGTGGA